ACTCCAAAAGGAATAGCCTTGAAAACGTGCTTAGGATGGCAGCTGGAAGGCGGAAGATATAAATGGCTATCTGTAGGTTTGGAATAGACGTCTGTCCTGATAAATCCATCGATAAGATGTAAAGTGAGATCAAGTACGTGGAGCTCACGCTCAGAAAAAACTAGCTCAAACTTAATAGTAGGATACAGAGAATTGATGTAATCAGTAAATTGATGTAGGGCAGGAAGGCCCTGCTGCCAGAGATCAAATACATCGTCTCGATATCGCCACCATAAGGACGGCTTTATCGGACCAGAAAACTTAGCTTTGTGATCAATTTCGCCCATGGCTAGATCGGCATAGCTACAAGCATTCTTCGGACCTATAGCTGTGCCATGGATCTGAAGAAAGAAATTCTCTTTAAAAACAAAATGGTTGCTTTTCAAACAAATTTTTACGGCTTCTAAAATACAAGTCGTGGATGGAAATTTGTTTTCTCTAGTATTCAAAGCCTTCCTTACTGCAGTGAGGTCGAGTTTGTTATCGATGTTAGGGAACATTGAAACCAGGTCCCACGAGACCAGTAAGGTGCCAGTTGGAAATGGATCGCTTGTGTTAAGATGTTCTATTTTGTTAAGCAGGTCGGTAGTGTCTTTAATAAACGATGGTAATTTTCGAGCAAGTGGTTGTAAATAAAATTCAGTAAAGGCCGATAAGTTTTTAATTGCCGTGTCACAACAAGATGTAATAAGTCTGAGTGGGTTACCCGTTTGGTGTGTTTTGATGTTTCCAAATGCAACTCCTGGTCTCGCTTCTTTATTTAAAACCCATTTGGCTACTTCGGGAGAAATCTCACCTTTTCCTGGTCATTTGGAGCACCAACTCTCTACTAATGCCAAATGTTTAGAGGTTGGGTCTGATTGCAAAGGTTCATAATGCAAATGATTGTTAAGCTGACCAAATTTTTTTCCTCGTACTCCCCTTCATCAATTAAAACAAATCGGGATCCTTTGTCCTGTATACGAATCACTACATTGGAATTTTTAAGTTCTTTAAGCGCAGCCCGTTCTTTTTTAGAAAGATTATCTCTAGCTTGCCTAATGTTCTCAGGATTGAGAAGATCACGCCGTACATTAGCTAAAAATAGTTCAAGTTCAGGGTACCTTGAGGTTGGAGGTTTCCAATTCCTATCCTTTGGTAGGCGGGGTAGGAACTGTCAGGTTGTCATCAGGATTACTATCAATGAAGAAAGCTGCTGTTCGTAGTCGAGCTTCAAATACTTCTGAGTCATCGTACACGCTCTGCCAATTGATGTCCTTAGGTGTTGGGAAAAACGATGGTCCTTTCTTCAGCAATTTTACCTGATCTGCATCCATGGATGTGCTCGAAAGGTTAACAGGGTCTAACTGGTGTAGTTGGTCCGAATTGACTGGGTTGGGCAATCTGCGTTTTTGGCGGAAATGCTGACGTTTCCTTAAAAGCCTGCCCCAGTTGTTGTAGCGTCGACTGCGTCTGGTTGTAAGTAGATTATCCATTCCGGTGGCGTTGGGTAGGTCCAATTTAGGGTCAAGAGGAATGGTCTTAAGCCACTTACATCTTATCGATGGATTTATCAGGACAGACGTCTATTCCAAACCTACAGATAGCCATTTATATCTTCCGCCTTCCAGCTGCCATCCTAAGCACGTTTTCAAGGCTATTCCTTTTGGAGTAACCACAAGATTGAAAAGAAATTGCTCTAAAGAAGTATTTTTTGCCGAGAGAACGTTAACAGCTGAGTACGAAGAGTACCTTGTTAACCAGGGTTACCCTTCTAAATTAGTTTCCAAACAATTCTCCAAAGCCTCTGCCATCCCTGGACATAATTTACTCAGGACCCGTGGAAAAGAAGCGAAGAAACTATTTCCATTTGTTACTACATTTAATCCTAACTTGCCTGACATAGGCAACATAATCAGAAAGTATTTGTTTATTTTGCAATCTAACCCCAAATTGAAAGAACTTTTTCCTCGAAGTTCTATCATACCATCTTTTCGTCGATCGAAAAATCTCAAAGAATTGTTAGCACTATCTCGTTTTAAAACTGCCAGCGAGAGACAAACCATTCCTCATAACAATGGCTGCTTTAAATGCGGTAGGAAAAGATGCGACCTCTGTCAGAATTTCTTTGTTGAATCTAAATCATTTCTCAGCTTTCAGACGGGCAAAACTTACACCATTCACCCTAGACTTTCCTGTGACTCTAAAAATGTGATTTACTTGGCTTCCTGTAAGAAATGTCGCCTGCAATACGTGGGATCTACTACTACCGACTTTAAAGTGAGATTTCGAAATCACAAATCTACTATGCTCATAGACAAAACAATTTGTGAGGTAGCGATACACTTCAACAAAACCCCACACACCTGGACGATTTTTCGTTCCAATGCATTGATCAGGTACAGGCCCCTAGTGGCTCTGCAGAGATCGATAGGCTTTTAATCACAAAAGTGGCTTATTGGAGTGCTCAGTTGTTCTCTTTGGCACCCCATGGTTTGAATAAAAGAAAGGAATTTCATTCGAAAAATGGAATTTGCTTTAATTAATTTTCCACCTAATTTAGATTAGGCGCTACTAATTGATCGTTCAAAGGCCCTTT